AGAGAGAGGATGGGGGGAGAGAGAGGAGGGGGGGAGAGAAAGAGGAGGGGGGAGAGAGAGAGGAGGGGGGAGGGAGAGAGAGAAGAGAGAGAAAGCAGCATCCATGATGAATATATACTGGCAAACGCTGATGCAAATACCTCACACTGCTTTATTTGAAAAGAAAGAAAGAAAAGAAAAAGAAAAGATGGAACACACAAAAGGTACAAACAACCAAAACTCCAAGGTGGGCAGGATTGGAGCCTGGCAGATATGCCGCGGACTAACAAAATCACTTTTCTGTGCACTCATCCTGTTAAAACCCAAACAAGAAAAAAAAAAAAAAAAAAAACGCTTCCATGATGGCAAATGTTGATGCAAATACCACACAATGCAAGAAAGAAAAAGGAAAGAGAGAGAGAGTGAGAGAGAGAGAGAGAGAGAGAAAGAGAAAAAAAAGAGAGAGCGAGAAGAAAGAGAAAAAGAAAGAGCGCGAGAGAGCCAGAGTGAGAAAAGAGAAAGAGAGAAAAGAGAGAAAGAAAAGAGAAAAAGAGAAAGAAAGAAAAAGAAAGAAAAAAAGAAAGAAAGGCAGGCAGGCTTGGCGTGTTCCCATCCGGGGAGATTGACCCCCTCTCTCCGCCCTGAGAACTGGAATTATCAGCTCACACTTATGACAAGTCGCGGACAATAAGGGCAATGGGGTAAAAGAAATTTCGCCGAGCAAACCAACAAATTACTGTGGGAACCGGATTCATTTCAAACAATTAAAAAAAAAAAAAAAAAAAAAAAAAAAAAAAAAAGAAGGTCACAAAACTTCCCCGCCGGCGAGTTTACTGTCCTCTCCAACTCCGGCTCCGAACGCCCATCTCCGCATTTTGAATTGCAAATTACTTTTCTAAATCACTCAGTGTCTATCCTTGAAATTCCACATGTCAACATCTCATTAATATCTGCGGCAAACGTGGATTCTTCTTCTTTTTTTTTTTTTCTTTCTCAGAAGCGGCAAAGCCTCCACTTACGGAGACGGATAGCTGGCGCACACAGCGGCCTCCTTCAATTACAATTTGGCAGAAGCTGACTTTAGGTTCAAATCAGCGAGCAACAATTTATGACAAGCTGGCAATCAGGGGCCGTTCTGAACGAGATTAGCTGCTGCTTTTTTTTTAAATTTTTTTTTTATGGTGAATTTGGGCCGGTTACGTATAAATTTAAAAATAAAAAAAAAAAAGTGCAACTCAGTGCTTTTTATTGGACCTGATCCGCCCCATTAGTTAGCAGTCGGCGGCGCATTTGGCGATATACATTTCCGATTATAAAGGATGCTAACTGTAGGTGATACAAAGCAGGAGAGCGGATTGACGGCCCAAAGTCATGTGTTTGGTGGGACGCGCTGGACCTCAGGGTAGGCGGAGATCGAGGAACGGGATCTAAATTTCAGCTGTTAGATGGGGGGGGGGGGGGAAGGGGGGGTCCCTGGAGTGGTCAGCAGAACGGAAGAAGGATGAGAGCGCCACAAAAATCTCGAAGATTTATTGATTACAAGAGGCCAAAAAAATCCAACTCATTTCGGGGGATCAAAGATCCCTTCATCGAGCCAGGCAACCCCAATGATTGAAATGGTTGTAAACCTCTGAACATGAACAAAGCACATCCTTCTATAGTGTGTACTTGCCTTAAACCAAAGCACCTCCTGTGATGACCGTCTCCTCTGACGTTCCTCTGATATCTGCACGAGTCACTTCTCACAGTCTGTGCTGACACCAAGCAATCTCAGGAGACAGTCTTGCCACCCCCAAGCACACAGCAGGTGATTGACAGCCTCAGCTGTGCATGTTTCCCTATGAGACTATGCAGGGCTTTTTTTTCCCCAGATAGAACCCGGGGGGGGGGGGGGGGGGGAAGCACCTACAGCACTGAAATATGTAATGGAAAGGGGTTCTGCGGTGTGATGGAGGGTGTATTGATGCTGGCTTTGGGTGGAGGAGGATCTATTGTCCCTGGGGGATCCATCGTTGTGGGGAGGTGGCCTATTGTAGCTGTGGAGTTTTATTATTGCTGGTGTGGAATCTATTGTTGCTGGGGGGGTCTTATGTTGCTAGAAGGGATCTACAGATTCAGGGAGTAGCCTATTGTTGTTTGCTGCTGGAGGGTCTATTGTTGCTGGGGGGGGGGGAGTATTTTGTTGCTGAGGGTCTATTGATGCGCTTAGTGGGGAGGTCTATTGTTGCCGGGGTGTGTATCTACTTACTGGTGCTGGGGGCGGGGGGGGTTATTTTGTTGCTGAGGGTCTATTGATGCTGGCTGTGGGAGGGGAATCTATTGTCCCCGGGGATCTATCGTTGTGGGGGAGGTGGCCTATTGCAGCTGTGGAGTTTTATTAATGCTGGTGTGGAATCTATTGTTGCTGGGGGGGGTCTTATGTTGCTAGGAGGGATTTACAGTTTTTAGGGAGTAGTCTATTGTTGTTTGCTGCTGGAGGGTCTATTGTTGCTGAGGGTCTATTGATGCTGTTTGTGGGGAGATCTATTGTTGCTGGGGTGTATCTACTTACTGGTGCTGGGGGCGGGGGGGTTATTTTGTTGCTGAGGGTCTATTGATGCTGGCTGTGGGGGGGTCTATCGTTGTGGGGGCGGTGGCCTATTGTTGCTGTGGAGTTTTATTATTGCTGGTGTGGAATCTATTGTTGCTGGGGGGGTCTATTGTTGTTGGGGTGTGTCTACTTACTGGTGCTGGGGGCAGGGGTTATTTTGTTGCTGAGGGTCTTTTGATGCTGTTTGTGGGGAGGTCTATTGTTGCTGGGGGGTCCTTATGTTGCTAGGAGGGATCTACAGTTTCAGGGAGTAGCCTATTGTTGTTTGCTGCTGGAGGGTCTATTGTTGCTGGGGGTTATTTTGTTGCTGAGGGTCTATTGATGCGGTTTGTGGGGAGATCTATTGTTGCTGGGGAATGTCTACTTACTGGTGCTGGGGGCGGGGGGTATTTTGTTGCTGAACGTCTGTTGATGCTGGCTGTGGGGGGGGGGGGGGGGGGAGAATCTATCGTTGTGGGGGAGGTGGCCTATTGTTGCTGTGGAGTTTTATTATTGCTTTTGTAGAATCTATTGTTGCTGGGGGGTCTTATGTTGCTAGGAGGGATCTACAGTTTCAGGGAGTAATCTATTGTTGTTTGTTGCTGGAGGGTCTATTGTTGCGGTTTGTGGGGAGGTATACTGTTGCTGGGGTGTACCTACTTACTGGCGCTGGGGGGGGGGGGGGGTTATTTTGTTGCCGAGGGTCTTTTGATCCACTTTGTGGGGAGGCCTATTGGTGGATCTACTGGTGCTGGCGGATAATTTGTGCTGAGGGTCTACTGTTACTGGGGGGGGTTCTGTTGCTAAGGAGGTCTGTTATTGCGGGGGAGGGGGGATCCATTGTTGATGTGGGGGTCGTTTTACTGCTTTTCTTGCTATCCACAAGATGATACTTGGTTCTGTATTCTCCAAAAGGGGCGGAGGGGCGGTACTGGGAAATGGGTAGGGGGTGGAACCAAGGGACGGTGTTGGGAGGTGGGGGGGGGGCAGAGACAAGTGGTGACCAGGAAGGGGGGAGTACCTGCACCTATTATCTGAGCAAAAAAAAGAAAACTATGTAAGGGTGGGGTTGTCCATTCCCCCCACTCAGGTCTCAGATTACACCCTGCTCTGTGCAATATGTGATGTCAGATCCCGTATTGCATATTTGTCCTTTATATAAAAACGTTACCTTGAGGCCATGAGGGGGGGAAAAAACATCCACTGCAAGGATACGCCCGCCCCGCCCATACTCGGGGCCATTCTCACTGGTAGAACCTCGCGCCCAGCACCCCAGGAACAAGTCCTTCCACGTTCCAACCCGCACATGCTCAGTGCGCTCTCCCGCAGTCTCTGCTGCTACAAGGTGAGGGACAGAGCAATGTGCATGCGTGGGTATGAAGCACACCTGCTCCTGGGGTGGGAGATCCTACCAGAGTGTCCCGGAGGTTAGGCAGGGCGGGGCTCAACTCCTCAGAGGGAGATTTTCTTGCAGGCTTCAATGATTTCCCTCATGACCTGATAAAGGTGATTAAATGAATGACAATATTTCACAGCAACACATTGGGGCCCCTAGACTAGACCCGGGAATTCAGCACAGGGGATGGTGGGAACCCCTCATAATGGGCACAGCAGGTGTACAGACCCGGGAACTCAGCACAGGGATGGTGGGAACCTCTCATGATGGGCACAGCAGGTGTACAGACACGGGAACTCAGCACAGGGATGGTGGGAACCCCTCATAATGGGCACAGGGGCGTACAGACCCGGGAACTCAGCACAGGGATGGTGGGAACCCCTCATAATGGGCACAGTGGGCGTACAGACCCGGGAACTCGGCACAGGGATGGTGGGAACCCCTCATAATGGGCACAGCGGGCGTACAGACCCGGGAACTCAGCACAGGGATGGTGGGAACCCCTCATAATGGGCACAGTGGGCGTACAGACCCGGGAACTCGGCACAGGGATGGTGGGGAACCCCTCATAATGGGCACAGCGGGCGTACAGACCGGGAACTCAGCACAGGGATGGTGGGAACACCTCATAATGGACACGGCGGGCGTATAGACCCGGGAACTCAGCACAGGGATGGAGGGAACCCCTCATAATGGGCACGGCAGGTGTATAGACCCGGGAACTCGGCACAGGGATGGAGGGAACCCCTCATAATGGGCACGGCGGGTGTATAGACCCGGGAACTCGGCACAGGGATGGTGGGAACCCCTCATAATGGGCACAGCGGGTGTACAGACCCGGGAACTCGGCACAGGGATGGTGGGGAACCCCTAATAATGGGCACAGCGGATGTACAGACCCGGGAACTCGGCACAGGGATGGTGGGAACCCCTCATAATGGGCACAGCGGGCGTACAGACCCGGGAACTCAGCACAGGGATGGTGGGAACCCCTCATAATGGGCACAGCGGGAGTACAGACCCATCAGAAAGCACGCAGAGTTCAGGAAGACTTACACATCCAGATGGAGGACTCGCTGTCCTATCCTAGAGCAGGCGGCCGCTACAATGGACTCCCGGCAGACCTGAGATAAAAAAGTAATAATAATAATTAGAAATGATTCCCAATCCTTCATCTTCTCTACAATTCGGTCACATTGGTCACGGGGAATCTGCGGGGAATCTGCGGGGCAGGACCTCGTTGTTCATCCTCCGGCGATGAAGTCGCCCCGTCGGGGTGATCTGGATAATGATGATGATGGACTGAGGCTGTGATTGGCTAATTGATCCGTACAGATGACATCATCGCGGTCTGCGGCGGGAGCGCGGCCGATCTCACGCTTTATCGTTGTTCTACAACAGACTTCCCATCTCGTCGTCCTGTTGCCGGCCGCTCACAACCGGTGCCGGCCCACACACATCACAACCGGCATTGTGGGGGGGGGGGGGGGGCTGTTCTCACGTATTGGTGAAATGTCCTTATATACAGTCCTTGTTATTACATTTGTCAATAAAGATACAAGTTTGAATTGACTGAATATGTTGTACTTTTATCATTATATTGTCAGGACGGTACAAATCCCCCCCAAATGCCAGACGGTACAAATCCCCCCCCCAAATATCAGGACGGTACAAATACCCCCCCCCCCCAAATGTCAGGAGGGTACAACTTCCCCAAATGTCAGGACGGTACAAATCCCCCCCCCCAAATATCAGGAGGGTACAACTTCCCCCTAATGTCAGGACGGTACAAATCCCCCCCCCCCAAAATGTCAGGAGGGTACAAATCCCCCCAAATGTCAGGACGGTACAAATGCCCGCCAAATGTCAGGACGGTACAACTCCCCCCCCAAATGTCAGGACGGTACAAATACCCCCCCAAATGTCAGGACGGTACAACTCCCCCAAATGTCAGCACGGTACAACTCCCCCCCCAAATGTCAGGACAGTACAAATCCCCCCAAATGTCAGGACGGTACAACTCCCCCCAAATGTCAGGACGGTACAAATACCCCCCAAATGTCAGGACGGTACAACTCCCCCCCCCAAATGTCAGGACGGTACAAATATCCCCCCCCCAAATGTCAGGACGGTACAACTCTCCCCCAAATGTCAGGACGGTACAAATACCCCCCAAATGTCAGGACAGTACAAATCCCCCCAAATGTCAGGACGGTACAACTCCCCCCAAATGTCAGGACGGTACAACTCCCCCCAAATGTCAGGACGGTACAACTCCCCCCAAATGTCAGGACGGTACAACTCCCCCCAAATGTCAGGACGGTACAACTCCCCCCAAATGTCAGGACGGTACAACTCCCCCCAAATGTCAGGACGGTACAAATCCCCCCAAATGTCAGGACGGTACAAATCCCCTCAGATCTCAGGACGGTACAAATCCCCCCAAATGTCAGGACGGTACAAATCCCCCCCAAATGTCAGGACAGTACAAATCCCCCCAAATGTCAGGACGGTACAAACCCCCCGAAATGTCAGGACAGTACAAACCCCCCGAAATGTCAGGACGGTACAAATCCCCCCAAATGTCAGGACGGTACAAATCCCCCAAATTTCAGGACGGTACAAATCCCCCCAAATGTCAGGACGGTACAAATCCCCCCCAAATGTCAGGACGGTACAACCCCCCCCCAAATGTCAGGACGGTACAATCCCCCCCAAATGTCAGGACGGTACAACTCCCCCCCTAATGTCAGGACGGTACAACTCCCCCCCAAATATCAGGACGGTACAACTCCCCCCCAAATCCCCCAAATGTCAGGACGGTACAAATCCCCCAAATGTCAGGACGGTACAAATCCCTTCAGATCTCAGGACGGTACAAATCCCCCCAAATGTCAGGACAGTACAAATCCCCCCAAATGTCAGGACGGTACAAATCCCCCCAAATGTCAGGACAGTACAAATCCCCCCAAATGTCAGGACGGTACAAACCCCCCCAAATGTCAGGACGGTACAAATCCCCCCCAAATGTCAGGAGAGTACAAATCCCCCCAAATGTCAGGACAGTACAAACCCCCCAAATGTCAGGACAGTACAAATCCCCCCGAAATGTCAGGAGAGTACAAATCCCCCCAAATGTCAGGACAGTACAAACCCCCCGAAATGTCAGGACAGTACAAACCCCCCGAAATGTCAGGACGGTACAAATCCCCCCCAAATGTCAGGACGGTACAAATCCCCCAAATTTTAGGACAGTACAAATCCCCCCAAATGTCAGGACGGTACAAATCCCCCAAATTTTAGGACAGTACAAATCCCCCCAAATGTCAGGACGGTACAAATCCCCCCCAAATGTCAGGACGGTACAAATCCCCCAAATTTCAGGACGGTACAAATCCCCCCAAATGTCAGGACGGTACAAATCCCCCCCAAATGTCAGGACGGTACAAATCCCCCCAAATGTCAGGACGGTACAAATCCCCCCAAATGTCAGGACGGTACAAATCCCCCCAAATGTCAGGACGGTACAAATCCCCCCCCAAATGTCAGGACGGTACAAATCCCCCCAAATGTCAGGACGGTACAAATCCCCTGAAATGACCCCTTTTTGGAAAGTAGACAGCCCGAGGTATATAGTAAGAGGCGTGGCAAGTTTTTGAAATTGTAATTTTTTGTCATATTCTTTTGGAAAATACATTTTAAAACAATTTATTTTTTCTTTTACATCCTGTCACCAGTGCAGTACAGCGTCATCATATAACTGGCATGGCGGTGATCAGGGACACTGACTGGTGACAGTGCGCAAAAAAAAAAAAAATTAAATATTTTTTTTTTTTTAGACTACACTCTGCCAGAGTAATATAATGTTGCCATAGTAACACAGCACTACTCTGAGGAAGTGATCAACTATATATTTTTTCTACACATTATGTTTGCAATAAGCAAGCATTATACTAAAGGAAATCGATTCATTCCATAGTTTTGTGATTAACTGTGATTGGCCACAGCTAATCACATGACACAGATGGGTTGTGAGTGGCCCGGTCTGTACCATGTAATCACTGTGACCAATCACAGCTAGCAACACAATTGTATACAATGGATGGCATGAAAGGAGGCCATCTTTTTTTTTTTTTTTTACAATCGTCATGTGGCCTGCTGTGATTGGTCACAACTATCACATGGTACTGGCAACAGGCAGGATCAGTCAGTGGCTGTGTCTGATGGTCATTTTGTATAGGTTCAAATCGCACTTCAAAAAAGGTGTTGGAAGCATTTGCTTTTTTATACATTGCATTTCACCTTCCCAATGTAACAAAATGACTTTCAACTTGTAAAACTTCTCCACGCTGCATTTTTTTTACCCAAAACAATTTCCATTTTTTTCCCTGGGAAAAAAGTTTTTCTTCCCACTGGCACCATCATTGGTATCAGTGGGAGGAATAGTGTCCCATCATTGGTGTCAGTGGGAGGAATAGTGCACCATCATTGGTGTCAGTGGGAGGAATAGCGCCCCATCATTGGTGTCAGTGGGAGGAATAGTGTCCCATCATTGGTGTCAGTGGGAGGAATAGTGCACCATCATTGGTGTCAGTGGGAGGAATAGCGCCCCATCATTGGTGTCAGTGGGAGGAATAGTGTCCCATCATTGGTGTCAGTGGAGGAATAGTGCCCCATCATTGGTGTCAGTGGGAGGAATAGTGTCCCATCATTGGTATCAGTGGGATGAATAGTGTCCCATCATTGGTGTCAGTGGGAGGAATAGTGCCCCATCATTGGTATCAGTGGAAGGAATAGTGCCCCATCATTGGTGTCAGTGGGAGGAATAGTGCCCCATCATTGGTGTCAGTGGGAGGAATAGTGTCCCATCATTGGTGTCAGTGGGAGGAATAGTGCACCATCATTGGTGTCAGTGGGAATAGTGCCCCATCATTGGTGTCAGTGGGATGAATAGTGTCCCATCATTGGTGTCAGTGGGATGAATAGTGCCCCATCATTGGTGTCAGTGGGAGGAATAGTGCCCCATCATTGGTGTCAGTGGGAGGAATAGTGTCCCATCATTGGTGTCAGTGAGAGGAATAGTGCCCCATCATTGGTGTCAGTGAGAGGAATAGTGCCCCATCATTGGTATAAGTGGGAGGAATAGTGCCCCATCATTGGTGTCAGTGGGGGAATAGTGCCCCATCATTGGTGTCAGTGGAGGGAATAGTGCCCATCATTGGTGTCAGTGGGGGGAATAGTGCCCCATCATTGGTGTCAGTGGGGGGGAATAGTGCCCCATCATTGGTGTCAGTGGGAGGAATAGTGTCTCATCATTGGTGTCAGTGGGAGGAATAGTGTCCCATCATTGGTGTCAGTGGGAGGAATAGTGCCCCATCGTTGGTGTCAGTGGGAGAAATAGTGTCCCATCATTGGTGTCAGTGGGAGGAATAGTGCCCCATCGTTGGTGTCAGTGGGAGGAATAGTGTCCCATCGTTGGTGCCAGTGGGAGGAATAGTGCCCCATTGTTGGTGTCAGTGGGAGGAATAGTGCCCCATCGTTGGTGTCAGTGGGAGGAATAGTGCCCCATCGTTGGTGTCAGTGGGAGGAATAGTGCCCCATTGTTGGTGTCAGTGGGAGGAATAGTGCCCCATCATTGGTGTCAGTGGGAGGAATAGTGCCCCATCGTTGTTGTCAGTGGGAGGAATAGTGCCCCATCGTTGTTGTCAGTGGGAGGAATAGTGCCCCATCGTTGTTGTCAGTGGGAGGAATAGTGCCCCATCGTTGTTGTCAGTGGGAGGAATAGTGCCCCATCATTGGTATCAGTGGGAGGAATAGTGCCCCATCATTGGTATCAGTGGGAGGAATAGTGCCCCATCATTGGTGGTAGTTAGAGGAATAAAGCCTTAAGGGCAAGCATAGGGCCACATCCAGCACCGGGGGCCGCAGCTTGGACAGCACTGCCCTAGAAGGTGGGTTAATATTGGTCCAGAGATTAATTTTAACTAACAAAATGTTATAATTTACTCCAATGAATCAATACAGAACCATTCCCATCTGATCGACATTCAACCACAACAGAATCTGCACAAACCGCATAAAACACAATACAATTGTGACGGGAGTGACTTTGGGTGGGGGGCCC